ATGGACATCATTTATAATTTTCCAACATGTAATTTATTTAAATATCATACAACTTAATCAGTGGACAAACCCCCTATAAAATAAATTCTATTTTTTGGAGAAACATAAAAACCTAAGGTCTCAAACCTCTTTAACCTTCATACTATGTCAGTGAATGATGCAAATATGCATTAAAACAAAATTTTCATATTTTCTAATTATTTCGAAATATGTGGGTTAACCCCTATGAAAAGATTGAGTTTTCCAATAAATGCTATATATACTAAAGTTTAGCCTCTTTCATGCTATTAAAAAAATACATAACCACATTCAAAACTTATATTAATGTATGATAAGCTTATTTACCTAGTACATGGACATCATTTATAATTTTCCAACATGTAATTTATTTAAATTTCATACCACTTAATCAGTGGACAAATCCCCTATAAAATAAATTCTATTTTTGGAGAAACTTGAAAACCTAAGGTCGAAAACCTAAGGTCTCAAACCTCTTTAACCTTCATACTATGTCAGTGATTGATGCAAATATGCATTAAAAAAAAAGTTTAATATTTTCTAATTTTTTTGAAATATGTGGGTTAACCCCTACGAAAAAATTGAGTTTTCCAATAAATGATATATATACTAAAGTTTAGCCTCTCTCGTGCTATTAAACAAATACCTAACCACACTCAAAACTTATATTAATGTATTATAAGCTTATTTACTTAGTACATTGACATCATTTCTAATTTTCAAAAATGTAATTTATTTAAATTTTCTACCACTTAATCAGTGGACAAACCCCCTATAAATAAAATTCTATTTTTGGGAGAAACATGAACACCTAAGGTCTCAAACCTATTTAACCTTCATACTATGTCAGTGAATGATACAAATATGCATTAAAACAAAATTATCATATTTTCAAAAAAAAATCGAAATATGTGGGTTAACCCCTATGAAAAGATTTAGTTTTCCAATAAATGTTATATATACTAAAGTTTAGCCTCTTTCATGCTATTAAAAAAATACATAACCACATTCAAAACTTATACTAATGTATGATAAGCTTATTTACCTAGTACATGGACATCATTTATAATTTTCCAACATGTAATTTATTTAA